TTCTTTCGTCTAACCTCTAGCAACCTATTTCCGCATTATTATTTTTGACTTAATTGTTTATTTAGAAAGTGAGCATCATAGCGAACATCATGTTGAGAAGTTGGAGAAACTTGGACCAGTGAAGTTCTCCATTTTACAACTGGACCGATTCGCGTACTTGCACACGACTTTGACGATGGTCCAGAAGAAGCTGATCCGGGAATACATTCGTCAGCTGAAGGACGCTTTGGAGCAACAACTGGAAACGGATCTTACCGAAAGGCTGATGCGCCTGAAGGTGGAAAAGCAGCATCTAAAAGATGCCTTTGAACTTGAGAAAGATTGTTTTCCTTCCGGTATATTGGTGTCACCGCCTTCCGCGACCAATAGCCAGAACATTACACAGACCCCTTGTGATGACGATATCACTACAATGGCAGGGTCAAGTTCTGAGGCAGCAAAGGGCTGGGACAGGAACTTTGCACAAGCGATGTGTGAAGCGTATCGCCTGTCTCCTCTCCCAATAAAGGCTGCAGCGATTTTTGAAGACATGGCCAATTCAGGTGTTGTATTCAATCCCCCTCCAGTGGATAAAGCTGTGGATCTATTTTTGGAATACGGAAAGTTCAGTTCGTTTGCAGTCAGTCTCAATGCCCTCAAAAGAAAGCGTATTCTACAGGTTCCTCATTGTTATATTGGTGCTGGAAGCCTGGACGAGCCCTGTGACTTATGCGTAAACGCACGTCGTCAGACCGTTTATGTCATCTGTGTTCACAAGGGGATACTGCCGTTCAACCTGAGGACGGCCGAGTTCGAGAACCTAGTTTCGAATGTGTCCACTGTCAGTTCAAGGAAAAACGCCAATGACCAATTCGCCAGTATCACCTTTGACCCTGTAAAACGCTGTGTGATTTGCACGGTGCTGCGAGATTACCGAAGATGGGTGGTCCAGGTGTACGACTCTCGTTACCTGATTCTACTCAGTGAAATCTCTTGTCCGGATGAGCCGAAAATCAGAAACGGCTGGAATCGATGGATCATTTCGCTACCGGACAGTCATTTGTTGATCAGCTGTGGCGATCGCCAGGTGGGAGCGCTTTGGTTATTGGACCTTCAAAGCAAACGGTGGACCCTGCTACATCAACAGTTGGGCGCAGCCTACCGAAAGCCAGCCTTCCACCGGTCAATGTTGAATACTGAAGAGGGTCTTCTGTACGTGCCGGACATGGAGGGCCATACCCTGGTCACTTTCGTTCTTAACACCACTACATGGACACTGGACAAACAAGGCGAGATCCAAACGGCGGAACTGAGTCGTGAAATGCCGATTTGCGTGGACATTTTGGACAGCTGTTTGATGGTCGGCAACTGGAACACTGGTAACATCATCGCTGCCAACCTGTTCAGGAGTTGCTCGCGATTGTTTACTAGCGTTGGACCGAAACAACTGTGTGGCTTTTGTTTTGTTGACACAAAACAATTTCTGGTTCTCTGTAAACAAAAGGAAGTCGTCGAGTCTTACTTGTTGACCAACTCCACTTGCTGAACACCAGTGCTGCCGTTTGTATAAATGGTGTTTGTACTGTCGGTGTGGAACAGACCGGAAATAATAAATTCTGTATCGTTAAAACGTGATAAAATCCTACTCATCCTATGTAATCGCTTCCCTAAAGTCTAATCATAGCTTCAGCACAGGTAATAATTTGTAAAGAGAAAAACGACTACTGATCATTAGAGAGCGCTTACAAGATATCTGGCAACGAAAGTGAGTTTACTTGTATCTCACAAAATATAAAGCTTAAAGAATTATTGTTAAATTCATGCCTAGACAAATATTTCTCACTCATGTGAGTTTTTTGGACCAATACGAAACAAAGATAAAAACTAGATTAATATTCAGTTATGCAACAAAAACAGTTCCTCTGTAACAGTGAAGAACCCAGATAACTGGGTATTATACAAAAGTACTGGGACAGCAGTGACACAATGAGTAAGAAGTCGGCTTCGAACTCCGGAGGTGTTGAGTTAAATTCCCGTCGCAAACGAATTAATGACAAGCTGCAACAAACCGCGGTTACTTGGTCGATACAGCGTCAGTCTCAAAACAGAGATTTTAGGTCTGAACCCGGTCAAGTAACCTCTCTTCCTTCTGAAGTTGATAAAGATGTGGGAAGGAACCGGAAGAATTCAGACTTTACTTGTCACACTCATGGCTGATTCATGGAAACTTAAATCAGCGCCCTCCAAAATTTACTTCTTTAAAGCAAAGGTGCTAGAATTAGCTTCATCATCAAGGGTAAGGAAGACCGACATTCTAACGGTTATAAAATTTACTTTTCCTTCTCTTCTTTCATCGAAAGCATGCGATGGAAGACAGGCAATCGTCCAAACTTTCAGAAAATGACCATGTACCAATAACACCAAGCTGCATCTTTGCTTCAGTTAGTGTTAATTCATCTCTTTTTCCACATAACAATGCAGAACCATTTATTGTAATGACTGAACCCGGAATTAAGGACTTCCAGCTTGTTTCCAGACCCAGAACAGCGAAGGTGAATATAAGGCTAAAAACCAGTCACTAAACTCGGCTTAAGAATTTTAAACCGTAAACATCGTAATCGTTGAAATAGCAGTGCGGCTTTTCAATCATTTTTGCATGAACACGGCGATGTGGCTAAACATCCCAGGCTCCGTAGTTGCTTGTATAAGAAGGACGCAAGATGAGGATGAACTTTCTTCAATATCAAGGTACTCATCTAGGAAATGCTTAACTGTCATCATAATCCAATCCAGACCACACGCCTTTGGGCGGGATGGACGAGGTACTATCGATGCAACTGCAGAAACCCTATTGTATTCTGTTTTCAGACAGCCGGAAACTATTTGGCGCAACCTGTCACAGTAATATTGTTCGTATGTGGTGCAATCATGATCGGCACAGTCTTCTGAACTGATGCCAGTTCCAGTAGGTTTGCAACCACCACCTGCTCATACATAACGCTGACACAACCATCGGATGATCACTTGAATTATCGTTTCTTCAGCAATGTTCACTTGAGTTGCTAGAATTTCATTACGCTTTCCTACAGTGCAGCATTAATATTGAAGATGGCCGCAAATCCACAAACCTTCCAGCGCTAATCCTCTTAATCTTTTTCGTTTATTGACTTTTTGACTCAAAGAATATGCCATATTTGTTTCTATTTCTTGTAAGTATAAAGTTTCATATATCATGCAATTCTTGTGCTTCAGTTCGCTATCAATGCTCCGTATTGGGAGAGGCTGTTATTGTATGAAAAGTGGGTTAGCAAACGAAGTCCTTCGATCTACTTTCTGTCACTATTTATTTAATTAGAAGACTCTTACTAGGAATAGGGTTATTCATAATACAGCCTCAATGTTCAATACCGAAGAACGGACAACAACCACGGTAAGGTGGAGTGAAACAAATACACCTGAACCGATGCCGCACCAGCAAAATGAAAACCTGCAATTGGCTTCAAAATAGTACCCTAACGAGGCAACAGTAACCATTATGTAGAGGCCTACTTTTGCTTGAAGTAATTTCTGTATAGTAGAAAGACAGTACGACTTAAAGACTGAACGGAAAGAGTGGATGACACGAATAATCAAAAATCCTAAAAGAAAGCATGATTAAGACAGTGCAAAGATCAGCACGACGCCTGATGCACTAAATCAAGAATTGAAGGAACACAACATGCTGAGTCATTTGAAATGGAAATCTGGCATATAACGCCGTACCATTTTGTACTTTCAGTCACCCCTACAAACGGAGAATCCAATTTTTCACTTTTATGAAAGAAGACATAACAGCGTGGTTGCCCAGTCATAAGAATCAGAGGTTCTGGGATCAAACCCTGGTCGAGTTAGAGGTCTTCATTTTTTCCTAGATGATAAATGAATACCACTCTGCGGTAAAACATGTTTGTCACACAGTAGTTGTGGACACTTTCATTGAAATAACTCATTACTGAATGATGGCACTGCAATGGAAAGCGGCACCTCACCACTAACTTCATGAAAATAAAGGTGCAAGAAGTAGACACATCATGAAACTGTAAGGAAAACCGATATTTCAACAGTTAAAATATTTGTTGACATTCTTTTCTTACACCTCAAAGAGTTCCGCAAACATCACATATTTTAAAGTAAAATGTAGCATACAACATGCTA